GTAACAGTCATAGAGGAGGACCATTCTTGTGTATACAGCTCATATAAACTTCTTTAAAAGCTCTGAAGTGTCTGATATAAAAATATGCATAACTGAATTTGCATCCAATTGTTTCCAGGGTATATGTGGATCTCAGGTTGCTTCTCACAGACAGCCAGCAGACCATTGTCTGAGGACAGGTTTGGGAATTCTTACTTCCCTTGACATCCCCGGGCTCCCCCTGGGCTCCCCCTGGTCTGAACCATTTAGCCTCCCGGGGCTGGCCTGTCCCTTTCAGCAGCATCATGACTCCTTTTAAACAACTCAGTCTCCTCAGCCAATAGATGGGGAAATGCTCCTCTCATACCCAAATCCCATTGGCAGTTTCCAAACAAATATTAAGTATTAAGCTGGGAATTATTGTTCCATGGATACATGGTTGATAGTGAATAATAACAACAAAGGCCCTGTGGCATTCAACACTTTCACTCAGTTGAAGGCACTGAGCTCATTGTGATGCACAAAGCCTTCACTTAACCTTAAAAAAAATCACTCTGAAGGAGTGGTCAGTTTCAGTTTAGAGACAAATAACCCTCTCAAGAGGTCAAGTAAGGTGTTTGGACTGCACGACCAATAATGGCAGGGTCAGGATTCAAATGTCAGTGGATCTGACTTAAAATCTACTGTATCCACTGCACAGTGTGTTTCAAAGAATCTGAACTTGGAATTCCTTAATGTTTACACACTAGTCATATTATAAGTCATCAAAACTGTGCCAGAAAAGTTAGTTATCTTATCATGTTCTTCAGATACTCAACCAAATCCACAGTGATTTGTAACTGCATGTTTATAAAAATTGTAATGTATCAGTAAAATAAGCCTTGGTCTTTCATAGTAACTTCTACTGATATCGTACACATATACACTGAATGTATTTCGGGCTCATCAGTGAAAATAACTATAAAACATCTTTACTTTAAAACACTGTAAAGTTCTATATACTTATTTAATGATATAAAACTTTTTAGTAGTTATATCTTCAATTTAATAGCCACAACAATAGTAACACAAGAAACAAAATTACACCAAATTCAAATTCAGATTGAAATATATTTTTAAAATGTTGAAGCTGTTCTGAAGTATACAGTAGCTGATAAAATGCTGAATTTGTGGCTTAGGCAAGTTATCTGTTGGTCACAAAAATAAGTCTTTCACACAGCAGGAAAGTAAGTTTTGTACTCATTTCCATTTTAGGGCCACAGACTGTAGTGCTCAGATAACAATTCTACATTTTGCTTTGAATCCAGAAAGGTTAAGATAGTGAAAGTAATTGGTAAATGCATATGAGGAAATAGTGATCAGAAAATGCACAAGGGAGAATAGTTGGGCTGTTGCATTTATAGATATTCACTGCAGTTTTTATTATGTAAAAACTATTTATTTGTATCTCTTTTTTTTCACTTATGGAATTGCTATGAAATAGGTGCTACATCGTTTTTATCTTTGAATCTCTGGAGTCCACTATAATAGTTATGCCTGAATGGAAGGAAAGCAGGTAGGAAAGGGATGCACTGGAAAGAGAAACAAATTTTTAGAAAACATCAAGATAAATGACTTAAGGGACAATAGAGACAGTGGAGCATAAGAATATTTTGTCCTGTGGAGGTGACTGATGATGTTATTAAAAATGTGTACATAAGACCATAGAAAAAACAATTTGCTTCAAATATCAATTTATTCAAATTCAGGTAATGGCTATTATCTAATTGATGTCAAGCTAACACAATTTTAAAAAATGAAGCATGTAGAAATTTCTTTCCAGTCAAAACAGAAGTATCTGTACAGAAAGCAGAATTTTGTGAATTTAAATTCATGTTCATGCATGATACATAAATGTTTTATTACTAGGGTAGTTTCTGACAGATTTCTTTATTACTGAATGGCTTATCAATAAAGAAGCAAAATGATATACTTCTAAAGCCCTAAAAACTTAGAGGTGTCATAAATGAGGAGGTTAATTTGATTTTGGCCAATGTTTCTAAATGAGGAATATCTACCTAAAACTGATTCTCCCCACAAATCTAAAGTGTTAACAAAATCAACTCTGCAAATAAACATTCTACTTGATTGATTTCAACAGTTAGCTTTCATTAAACATGTGAAAGTCAAGTCATTCTTTAACGTGATCGCAGGACTACGTGGTGGATAAAAAATGTGAATACTGTTTACGATGAAAACTGAGAAAGGCACCACTCTCGGCACACTGCCAAGTGTAATTTCCTGTCTTGTCTCTGGTGTGCAGTAAGAACTTCTTTGTCTTGATATTCCAAGCAATTTTACCAAATGTATGTTTATAAACAAATGAAAATGTTGTGCAAAAAAAAACCAGATTGTGTGGGAGCATAATGAGATTCATTTATAACTGAGTATTTGGATAAAAAATAGATAATATTTAGGTCTTCTTCTTAATGTAGAGTTATGAACACAGGAAACTCCGGATTTATAAAAGCAGCCCATTGTGGGATGAATAAACTATCTTCCATTATAGTTTTCCACTTATAGAAAATACATTAAATAGTTTTCTTAAATAGAAACTGTTTAGTGCAATTAGAATAGCTTTAATTTACAAAATCATGACTTAAACCATTTTCACAAGCACTATAATTATGTGTAAGGAAGGCACATGCATGAAGACATACATACACACATACATGCACACTCATCACCAAGCATATATTGAAGAGCAAATAGCATAAAATATTTGTAATCTTCCCAGGCTGTATTACACTAACCACAGAATTTTAACCTTCCCCTAGCTGTTAAAGGTGTCTATACTGAAAATGATACTTTTACTACCAGTAGTAATTATTAGTAATATTGTTATACATGAGCACTTGCTTGAGCCTGCCCTATTCACCGCCTCCCATGTTTTATCTCATTGGATCCTAGCAACCACCCTATGGGAAAGTCCTCATTTCATAAATGAGAATCTTGGAAGTGTGAAATGACTAGGTAATCTGCCTAGGGTGTCACAGCTTGAAGTAAACATCTGGAATTTGCAGCAAGGTGGCTAGATATCCACGCTTTGCTACTTCATGATAACCAGTCATCACAGGCTTTTAAAAAATATATAAATCTTATCGTGTTGCTAACTGGTTCAGCACCCTCTAAGAGCATCTCATTCATTCATGATAAAATCCTCCCTGTGCTCTGGATATACAGACTTTCCTGTTACTCCTCTAAGACACACATGACCGTGGCTATATGCGTGCTCTGCCCCTGCCAAGATCTCTTGCTTGATGCTCCCATGCCACTGGTTCTATATTTTTCTTAAAATGCTACTCAAATGCTGACTCTTCAAAGGGGTCTTCTCTGGTTATCTTATTTAATTTTTAAAAGTAGAAATGATCATGACCTTAAAAAAGTCTCTGTAATTAGAGCTACTCATTCACATGATCAATGTCTGTCCCATGGGAAAAAGATCTTAGTTTTTACCTGTCTCACTAGTGCCTAGGATGATAAAAGGCATGTGCTCAAAAAGTGTGAATGAGTAAAAATGAGTAATAAATGCATAAAAATAAGCAATGAATGAATTAAAAACTAAGTATAGAAGCATTTTTAACATATGATATTTGTGAAATTAAACACTATCCACCAGCAGATATGGGTAGGAGTAATAATAAGTATCATTGAAAACAAAGTGGTAGTCCAACACGATTTCTCATATGTGGTCTCTAGAATGGTATATATCCACGCAAATCTGTATACACACAAGAGAAGGAAAACCAGATAACAATTATGGAAACAGCGTAGAGATACTTCTGTAACTCAGCATCACTCTGAAAGAATTATATTTCATTTTCATTAATAAAGTACAGGGCATGTTGTAGAAGGTTCATTGTCTTGAGTGCCAACCAGACAGATATAGCTAACACAATTTTTAAAAATGAAGGAATGAGGTTAGGAGGTGTGTGTGTGTGTGTGAAAGAGAGACAGACAGAGAGACAGACAGACAGAGAAAGAGAGACAGACAGACAGACAGAGAGAGAGAGAGAGACAGAGAGAGAGAGAGAGAGAGAACAAAAGTAACAGTAAAGAGAACATTTTGGTAGCAATCCTAATTCCTTTATGCACCTGAAACTCTTAAGTTCCAATATGACCCAAGGAATGTGGTCAGACCTGAAGTCCCTTCCCAGAGATCTTCCACTTTCCCATATTTAGTCTCTATCTTAGATTTTGTCTTAAAGACTATAGCCCTACTTTGAGCCTAAAAAGAACTCAATTTATGCATGATCAGTCTATAACCTAAGCACTAAAATGATCAAGGGGGGGACTAAGTTTTCAGGACTGAATCACAGTACTTTAGTTCTAGGAAAAAACCTGGACAGTATAAAAGACTCAGGAGGATCTATGAGTAGAGAGATCTGCTCATCTGCAGAGTGTGTTTAATGGTGTGTGGACACATGACTCCCAAAGTGTATGTTCAGACTAGTCTGTGTAATATTACCTCTTCTACAGAACACAGAGACAAGTTCTGTTTATTAACATGAATGAGAGAAGTGCCTCCAAGATACTTGAAGTATATTAATAAAGATAAGTGGGAAGAGCAACTTTTTGTTCTTTCGCACTCAAGATGACACTAGCCAGAGTAATGCACACATAATGAAAGCAGAGTTTTGTAAAACTAAGCACATTCTAAAAATATGAAATATTGGCATTATAATTGATGATATAAATATGACAACAGCCATGGAATAACAGAGAGAAAAGTAATTTTTAAGTAAAACAAAAAAACATTTTTTGGTCTGAGGTTGGATGGATTATGTTTTATGGCAGAGTAGGACATTTTCTTTAAAAATACACTAGTTAACTTTTTAAAATAGAAATATGAGAGAAAAAGCATTGTGAAAATGATGTAACAAGAATAAACAAAACGTCCTGTTAAAAGTTTGTTAATTTAAGTCCAAAGAAAACGATTTTATGCAGCAGATAGCATGCAGTAAGAGATAGGTGTAACTTACTAAAGATTTATCAGGATAGACCCCAGCTCTTAGTAGAGATGCTTTCCAGCTGTCCACATCCTCCTGAGAATCACATGCCAGCTCCAAGAAACGATAGTCTTTGTATACATTCCTGTAGTTGAAAATAAATTATACCTTTAGTTTCGAACCAAATTAAGAATGATCTTTATATCACTACAGATAATATAAATGACAGTCCAAAAGACAGTACTCTAACAATCACTAAGGGAAAAAGCACAAGAATAAAATCACCTTGAATTTTAAAATAATCAGTAAATTCCTAAATGTACTTATTAAATAATTATTTTTAAAAATTACACTAAAGGACTCACAGTTATTTGTACTATGGAGCAATTAAGTTAACAAAGGAAATGTAAACGTAGTTAATATTGCCCATTGTGGGCATCTGATTGGGTGTTGTGCTTTAGGGAAGGAATTTACTATTGCCTACTAATTGATCAATTTTCTGAAGGTATTTCATAAGGCTAACTGAATATATGGCTCATAAAACCTTTAAAAGTGCATGGCAATAGTCTCACACACTTAAAAGTCTATTCTAAGTTCAAAGTAGAAATGTTCATCAAACTGCAAAATGGGAAGCCTGATAACCAGGGTTTAATGGGGTGAAGTGCCTTTCCTTATCATTTATATCTGGTACAATACTATAATTTCTACATTTGTTTTCCTAATAAAATAATTCATAAGATGCAGTACATGCACATGTTGAAAATTTGCAAATTAAACAAGATCATAACAGATACTTTTTCTTACATTTTTTTGTTCTATTTATTTTCATGCAGTCCAGATGTCCTCTCTTTCTACCCTTCTCTCCCTTCTTTTTTCTCTACCTCTTTATAAATTTTATACTGATTTTTTCGCTGACTGTTATATCTTGGTCATTTATTTAAACCATAAAATCTTTATGAACATCAAATTATATGACACAACATTCATTCATATAAATTTCTGACATCTGTTTAACCTTTTCCTAATATTAGATAATTAAATCATTTCCTTTTTGTTTTTCCTATCATAAATACTGCTTAAACGAGTATTATTCATGAGTGTTTGACACATTTACTATTATTACTTTCTGAAGAAAGATTTCTACAAATAGGGTTATAATCAAAACAAGATCATTTTTAAGACTCTGATACACATTCCCATCACCTTGGAAGAAAAATAGTCCAATTTAGATAGAAACTACCAGTGTATAAGATCATCAATCTTTCTGCTCTCCTTACTCTTTTTCAATATCTCGTTCATGCCAGCAGTGTCCATTTCCTTCCAGCACTGGAGGGGGAATACTGTTTTTGTATCTCCTCTCTCAACCTGCCCCAGGGCCCTATGGTCATCCTATTGTCTTCTCCACTTGAGTATCTCAAAGAAATATTGACATAAACAACTCAATTGGTGACTTCTAATTCAGTGTTCTAGTATTCCCATTTCATGCAGCAGTAGTCCAATCCAGATACCTTTATGTTTATACCTTTTCACTCCTCTCTTCCATTTTACCACCTGAAAGTATCCTGTTTTAAAACTGGTGGCCAGCTCATCATCTTTTTCTTGAATATTATAATAGTTTCCTTACTGACTCTTTGCTTTCCATGCTTCTTTGCATTTGTCTTGGCATTGAAACTTTCTGATCTTCTAAACATGCTAAACAGTATTTTATCCCTGGAGTATGACTCCAATGGCCACCTGCTTTTAGGGAAGAGTTCACAATCCCAGTGATGGCCCACAAGTCCCTGAATGACTTTCCAACCATCATTATTTTCCTTTGAAGCATCTTTTCCCAGTTTGCTCTTTCTGCGCCAACCACACTGCCCTTCTTTTAGGTCCCCAAATGTGTCATGCTTACTCCTAATTGATGAGCTCCGCTCCAATGGGATTCTGCCAGGCTCAATATGGCACCTGCCCAACATGGCGCTGGGCCCTGAAGAGACAGCATGTTCCTCCAATACTAACTTCCGTGTTCTTCTTCCAAGCCCAAAATAAACTTCCCACCCTTCTTTCACGCATGCGCACGCCAAAAAGTCCTCCAATCCTGTGCGCACACGAAGTCCTCCAATCCAGTGCGCACACAACGCCCTGCCCACTCACGTAGTCTCCGTCCTCAGCCTAACTTCGTAAAAGCTTTCCCTTTTTTGCGGGTCCTTACAGTCTCCTGCAGCCCTCATGAGCAGGCAATAAAGTCTTTTTTGTTATCTCTGTCTTTGTCTCCCAACTGCGCCAAAAAAAATCTAACACTAAGACCTTTGAATATGTTGCTTTCTTTCCATCTCTCTTCACTGCTAACTCCTTTCTTGGGATCTCAAGTCATAGCTTCTTCAGAAATCACTTCTCTGGTGCCTTACCAGGTCGGATCTCCTCTTTCATATGCTTTCCACATTTCTATTTACTTTTTGCTCCTAGCTCTTACCACAATTGGGATTATGGAATAAACTGTGACTTCTGAATTACAGTTTATTTATTTCACAACTATGCTTTTTCTATTTTTCTGTTTCCTTTCTTCTTACTTTCCTTTCCTTTCCTTTCATTATTCACCTTTTTCCTGCCCTGATCATTCTTTCATTCTTTCTCTGTCTCTGTCTGTCTCTGTGTCTCTGTCTCTGTCTCTCTCTCTCTCTGTCTCTCTCTCTCGCATCTCTGTAACAGTTCACTCTGTGAGGCGAGTGAGTGTATCATTCTTATTACTTATTTTATCCTCAGAGAATAGGCAAGTTGACTACCACTGACCGGTGATGACTGAGATACCAATGCCTTTTCACAAATATAAGTCAAAGTCCACTTAAAGCACTCAGCACTTAAACCTATGCTATAATGAACAAATGAAAATAAAAGGATACTTAAGTCCACAGCCTGACAAAGGGAGAGAGAGAGACAGAGACAGACAGACAGAGAAGAAACCAAAGAAAGCAATCAAGAGAACTTTTGGGGAAAGCAGAAGACAGAAAAATAGCAAATTCTTGAAGAACTATACAGTTTGTACAGACTTCTTGAAACTAAAATGTAACCTTGTTAATTCAAATATTGAATAAATACAGGAAAGACTAATCACAGTTGAGATTATAATTCATAGCAATCAAGAGCCAAGAGAAAAAGTGGAAAAATACAGAAAGAGAAAGAGAGATGGTACATATGCAGAAGAAAGACCTAGAACACCTAACTATAAAAATCAGTAGTCCTAGAAAAAGAAAACAAAGGTGAGAGGAGAAAAGAAATTAATTTAAAAACTTTTCCCTGAGTGTTATAGAAGGACTGAATGTGTACATCAAAAGTACAATTTCATGAAAAATTTGTGAGAAAGGATATCACTTAGGCATAGACTAATACAATTCCTGAGTTATGAGATAAAGAAAATGTTTTTGAAGAATTGGAATCCTATGCTTATCAAGACATCATCCACATACTCAATTTGATAAAAATAAAGTCTCAAAGCAGGCATAGGGCTAATACAAATGAACACGGAGTGCTCAAATTGAAGGGAGATTGAAAGGAAGCAATAGTGAGAGATAAAACTTTTAAATAAAAAAACACCATTTAGAAACACATAAAGACTAAATTGAACTATTAAAGTATGAAAGACATATTTCAACAGTAACTTTGGGGGAGGAGGAATAAAAATGTACCCAAGGTCCCCTCTGGCACATGGAGGAGTGCAGAGCAGAGAAGCAACAGGAGCTCATTGCTGAGAGAAGCAGGTCAGCAGAGGAGAAAAAATACCCCCCGCACAGGAGTAATACTTTGCTTCAGTAAATAACAAAGGAACCATGTATTGATGATCAATTTAATATTAGGGAAATAGTGTATTAGTGTATCAGTTTAATTTAGGGAATATTAGGGAAGTAGTGTAGAAATTGAAAAAGGAAAACATTTATTTTTCAATAAATCAACAACAAAGGAAAAGAACAAAAACAACATGACAAGATAAATTTAAAATAATAGGCCATAGTGAAATAAAATACGTAAATTATTTAAATAATACAAATGAAGTTAGTTCTCTACATTCAATCACATATTTTAGTTTAAAAAAGGAAATAGGTTGTATATTGAGTTATAAGAAAAAACCAAAACTAATTTTAAAATGATGAACAACAATATTAAGAATAGACAAGGCAGAATTTAAAAGTATAAAATGAAATAAACAATATGAATACTGAACAGAAATGTAATGATACAAAATATAATTTATAAAGATTGTACAAAGCTGATAAACCTTTGTACTAAATAATATAGTATATAAGTGCAGGAAGTAGGTGTTACTAGAAATACACATGATTTGAATACAATATACATATATAATTAATTGTTGTATTTTACTATAATTTTCAAACTAGATAGTTACAGTGGGCCAAAATTCAGTATTACAAGAAGTAAGTAGTACAATTAAAGAAGTTCTTTTAAATGTATTTTTGTTTGTGCATATTAATTTTACAAAATACTTGGTTTAAAATATCAACATATTTTGATAATCCTTCAATATCTTCTATTCTATTTATCTCCCCATTTCTTTCCTGTTGTCTATTAATAATGCCCACAAAGAAATCTTTTTAATAGAATGCTTTTTCCTTCCAACTATAAGACACAAATTTTTCGTTATATACAAACCACTTATAAAAATCGGTCATATACCCAATGCCATCTTCAAAAAGGAGACACCATCTAAATAACATTCTTTGATCATATCTCCAAATGTTTAAGTAAAGGAGATAAGAAAAACATAGAAATATACTCCTAGGCAACTGCTATAAGACACACACATGCATGTGTTCCACCCCCATATATACACATATACCTAAAAATCAGTATATAATTTATATGCAAGTAATAAAAATACAAGCATTTTATAGCCAAACAGCAGAGCCCATAAACAAGGCTTTGGGAAAATATGAATATAGTCACCATTTGAGAGAGAAACAGAATGAGGGAGAGAAGGGAGGGAGGCAAGAAGGAAAGAAGGAGAAAGAAACAGACACAGAGAGAGTCAGTGATTACCTGCGGAAATTATAAAATAATTTTAAAACAAAAAGAGATCTTAATTAATGAGATTAAAATTATAATTAATGAAACAGGGAGTGTAAAAACATAAAAGACAATCACATCCACAAG